GTTATTTATTCCTTTTCCGATATGACAATCGGTGGACTCTTTTGGGGTGTCAACGGCGTGTCACAGTCTACTATGACGGTTAAAGGCAAACTTAAACCATGCTGAGTTTGTTTTATTTTATTCCAGTCCTCCGGGATAGTTTCACCTCAGGTCCATCTTTAGTTGTTGTCCCGAGTGGACTTCCTCCTCGGTGGGACGGACTGGTTCCGTTCTCGGTGCACTCCGAACTCACCAGCGCACTGTTTCCACTACATACGGTCGCCTCTGTCTTCGAACAGGACGTGCCTGTCTGTCACTAGCCTGAGTTCCGCACTGCGACTGATCAGACTTCCAGTCTCAACCCCCCCCCCCTCCTCCTCCCCTCCCTCATGCTTGTCTGGCTCGGAGACTGTGAAATATTCAGGGTCCTGTCGGGACAGATGGGCAGCTGGTTATTGTGCTCGACAGATCACAGCAGGGTCGCTGGCGGCTGGGGTATTCAGCGCATTACGTCTGCATCACTATGTCATATCACAGTGCTAAATCAGTGTCAGTGTCATGCTGTCACAGTGTCACACTGTCTCCGTGTCGCACATAACTAATGGCGACCGCATCTGAATTTGCCAGCACGACCAAGGTATCGGCAACTTAAACCGCTGTTTTGTAGGACATGTCTCAAACTGGTTTATCAATCTCCGGCGGTCTCCTCTCCTCCGAGACGTTAGCGTCAGCACGGCCGGCCGGGCGCCGTCTCCGTCTCTGTGTCGGCCGAGTGGCGCTAACGGGGTTCTGGCGCCCCTGTTTGTATGTGTGGCTGTGCCGGTAGCTCGCAGCAGACGCCTCCCGGATGTGCGCTGATTTAATTTGGCTCCGAGCCGCGACACTCGGCCGTTTTTCTGCCCGGCCAAGTGTGCGTAAGTGGCAGTATGGAACCAGCATGCGGGAAGCTCCAGTTTCAATATTTTAGCTCACTCGTGTTTTTCCTACCGTCACTCCGTCGCTCCTTAGCGTCCCTCGCGATCCGGCTACGCTCTATCTCTCGCTCTCGCTCTCTCTCTCTCTCTCTCTCTCTCTCTCTCTCTCTCTCTCTCTCTCTCTCTCTCTCTCTCTCTCTCTCTCTCTCTCTCGCTCTCGCTCTCGCTCTCGCTCTCGCTCTCGCTCTCGCTCTCGCTCTCGCTCTCGCTCTCGCTCTCGCTCTCGCTCTCTCTCTCTCTCTCTCTCTCTCTCTCTCTCTCTCTCTTGCTCTCTTTCCTCTCCTCTCTCTCTCTCGTTCTCGTTCCTCTTTTCTCTCTCTCTCTCTCTCTCTCTCTCTCTCTCTCTCTCTCTCTCTCTCTCTCTCTCTCTCTCTCTCTCTCTCTCTCTCTCTCTCTTCTCGTTTTATTTCTGCTTCCTCGTGTTGTTATTGTGCTTTCCCGTTTTCATAACTATGATGCTTGTTCCTGCCCACACTGCTTGTATTTGGCGCCAGATGGCTATCATCCGTCACGAGAAACCCCTCGCTTCAATTATGATTCAAATATGATTGTGTTACTACAATTATGATTGTAGTAACACATCATACCGTTTATGTTGTCATGACACATCTCCTTGCCCTTACTTTATTGCTTAAGTTAGTTAGCTGATTTTCATAGCGCTGCTCCATTCTCCCTTGGCTTGCGTTCGATCTCCCATTTTCAGAGCGAGTGCCCTTGACCCGACTGCGACGGCCGTCGCTCTGACCGATCGTGACCTTCACTGGGCGCGGCGCCGGCCCTGACCGGCCGCTGCCTCCGGGAGGATCGACCCTCCCCGACCCGACCCAGCCGTGTAGGACGGTCCCCAGCTGGGCGGGAGGTGTGCGGCCGCCGCGAACGTCCCGGGGGTCCGTGCCGCGTCCCCGGCGCACGGCTGGACGGCGGTCGTACTGATCTGAGATGTTCTTAGAAGAACGCTGACTGCTTCATAGCAATGGCCGGTTGGGAGGGGGTGAAATATGTGGCATAGTGGCTCCTACTGGTGCTGTCGGTATCAGTCGGCTGTCTGTCCATCTGTCTGTCGGCATCTGTCAGTGCGTCTGTCCCGTCTGTCAGCTGTGGCAGCTGTGTTTGACACGAACCGAGCGCCGGTGACGGCTGCCGTGGGGCCACTGTCAGCCGTCAGAGTAGGCCGGTGACAGCCGATGTTCATTATGGCAGTCGGACAGTCAGCAGTTAACACCGCCGTCGGCGCACTAGACCGTAACTGGGAGATTTATAGGAAATACACCAATTGGTGATGAGTAGTGACCGTCGCCGTCGCCGTGTCAGTTACCTGGTTTACATGAGCAAGTGAGTACGCATCAGGAACGGATTTTCCTATTCGCTCACCATTTTAGTCTGTAACACGCATTTACTCTGCTCATGTAACCCCGGTCTGTGCGTCAGTACCGCTTCAGTAGCGTCAATACTGGCCGGTGGCCGTGGTCCAGAAATTTGCGCAGTTTAGCCCGCCCCACCCCATCCTCTAGCGTGACCCTCACGCGGCTTAACTGAGCCCGGCCGTGAACACGCGGAGCGAACGAGCAATATGTCCGGCGGCCTCAGTTCCAATATAGTGGCGCCGACCCCCCGGCGAGACTGAGGTCGGGCTGAGCCGAGCTGGTCCGGCCGCGGTGGGCTCAGCTGATATAGATGGATGTGAAGACGAGTTGCCCTTGGCCAGGTATTGCACAGGTGTAATTGCATTGGAAACGGCGCTCAGGGCTGGTGTGCTTTGTTTAGTCCCACATCTTATTTCTAGGCCTGTTTTTGTTTGTTTGGTGTATGGTTGTTTGGCGGAGGAAGTCTATGGTCGAGTCTGAGGAGGCCGATGTCCTTCGGTTTTCCATATCCAATATCCATGGCTGGTATTGCTGGTACTCTTATCGATTGTTCTAAATACAATATACTCTGTCAATCACTATCCCACATTCATTGTGTTATTATCTTTGGCTCAGTATTTTCCCTTTCTCCATTCTTACCGCGCTATTCTCTATTCTCTCCAGTGTCAGTGTGGGTTCTCTCTGCGTTCTCTGGAGACTGCAGCGATACCGGCCCCACCCCAGGGCCTCCCCCTCTCCGCAATCCCCGTCCCAGTTGTCCGGCGCCGGCCAGTCGCCGCCGCCGCCCGGACGAGCGGTCATCCTTCCGCCGGGCCGTCCCCTTAGATCGAACTCGGTCCTGCCGCGGTGGAATTGACCTCCGTCGGACCGGTAGGGTGCCGAGTGGGTGTCGGGTCGAGTATGGACACCCGCTGCTACACTTAGCGAGCAGGCGGACAGACAGGACAGCTAACTGCTATACGGATGCGACTGCTGTACGGATGTTAAAACTAATAATGGTGTGAACGATAGAGGGATGTTTCAGCAGCAGTTCAAGATGCCGGATTCCACCGTTCTAGCAGTGACAATCCCGTCGTTCTTGCTCATGACCGCTAATCTTTCTTTATGCCAGCCTCCACCAATTGGTCCCTCCCCTTTCTCACCCAAGCCAATCTGGACACATCCGACCGAATCTCCTTGCATAATGCACACTCTGCATCGAATGACGTCAGTCTTACCGAGCAAACTGATGAGTTGCTTTCTCCGGGCTGTGCCAACACCAATAATCGCGAGCAAACAATGCGCGCAGAGTTGTCGCCGACCGGGCTTGTTACGTGCCGCGGCTGTGTGTGTTTGTGTCTGTGTTGTCGGATCGGATCATGCCTCTTCTCCGCCCCTGGAGGGAGAGGTCGACCGCGGCCTCCTGCTCTTGGGCTGGCCATAAATTGCCTCAGACATATCTGGTAGTTGCGCCTCTCTACGGTAGTTACTCAATGCTCTATCCACCGAGAGGTGGATAGGAGTGCTGCTAGCTAGGACTGATTGTATCGGTCCCAATTTTCCTATCGCCGACGGTAGTGGGGCCAGCCGGCGCCCGGTCGTCACAGGGGCCTGTTCGCCGTTCACGCGCAGCAGATGTGTTGTGGCAGGCCGCGCTGTTTTGGAGGCGGGTGGTTTTTTTTGTCGGGCGCTGATTGATTTCGTCTGTGGATGTTGGTCGCGACTGAGGCCGAATGGCACACGTCCCGCGAGACAGCCTGACGAACACACCGGCTGATGCAGACTGGCGCACAAACAGATGGGATTGCAGACGGACGGGCAAACGTACAGATGAACGGGTAACGGTGAGGCGGACAGACGGGTGGCGGACGCGCAGGGACAACAGGCGGGTGGTGATGTCCAGATAGGGCGCTGAGCGATGCACAATGCACATACGCGTTGGAGCTCAGTGGTTAACTCAGTTCACTCAGTAAACTCACTTATAAGTGTGATCTGTATGTGTCATTAGCGGGTAACTACCGGCGAACGTTAACTATTCGGGAGGCCGTTTGAGCCGGAATGTCTCCCTGAGGCCTCGGCGGGCGCCGCAGCTGTTACAGGGTCGATGGCACCGGTCTGTGGTGAGCGCTGACCCTCGGTTACCAGTGACCCCAGATGGTCCCGGCCAAAGGTCACTGAACATGTGCTAATGGCGCCGGCGGCACACTACGCCCAAAGGCCGGCTTCCGACGACCAGCAGTATTAGCCGAGGTGGAGCGCGGTTCAGGGAGGGATTTACTTTGAGCCGCCGCTTCCATAGTTGTGGCCTTTTGGTTGATTGGGTGGGCTGACCTTTGTGAGGAATTTGTTAGTCGGTAGTGTGCTGCACGTGTAGCGATACTGATGTTCTTCCGGTATGTGACATTCGAAGGGGCTTTAAACAGCGAGTGGCAACGATAAGGTACAGTGTACTTGCTGTTTGAGTGGATTTGAGTGGTGGGCGCAAAATGACCTCGCAGTCGGCGCGCCCTTAACCCCCAACAAACAAACAAACAAAGGATTTGAGTGGAATAACGATCCGCCGCTCAGATGCGTATAAAACCAGTAGGTAACTTTTAAAGCCAGCTCTTCGTCTTCCGTGTCTCCAGACGCATTTCTTTGCAGATGTCCGTCCTTTTTACGTGCCCTGCCAAACCCCTGACGTGCCTCCTCCGCTGTTCCACAGGTGCACGACTACCTTCGCACGAACCTGTGCTCGCTCTACGAGAACGACTTCATCTTCGACAAGTTCGAGTGCTGCTGGAACGGCAACGACACCCACATCATGACCGGATCCTACAACAACTTCTTCCGGGTGTTCGACCGCGAGAGCAAAAAGGACGTGACACTCGAGGCGTCGCCTGACATCGCCAAGCCCAAGACAATACTCAAGCCTCGCAAGGTAGGTGGCCGACAGATCATGAGTTAGGACTTTCTTCTGAGAGAGACGGATCAGTAGGAGTGAGGGCCTGAGGGGTGTATTTATTGACGAGCTATTCCCATGGACTTGCTGAATTTTAGGGAATATCCAGTTATTGGTTCGTGGGACAAAACGTATCGGCGACCACCGTCTCGAGCTAGGCGTTGACTGCAGTTATTGAGTAGCGTTTCCGCCCAGGCGGTGATTGATCTGATTTGGCGGTGTTACGTGCCTCGCAGTCCAAAAGTCTCACCATGCTTCTCCTGTCTCAAATCAGGACATTTTCCGCGCTCCTCCTGTCCATCACCAAGACAGCGCCCACACTTAGCGGCGTGAGTGGTGCCGGCTGCAGCGGTGGCGTGAGACGCTGACCGCCGTTCGACTCTGGTCCGTTGGACTTTTGTCCGCCGCGGCTCCCCCGAGTCCGCCGCCTCTCCCGTCTCTCTGGTGTGCGCGGCGGAGCAGCCGGCCGGCCGGCCGACCCGGTACGACCATCAGCCTGATTGGGCCGCCTGTCGGCCAGTTCGTACTGTGCACTGGCCGTCTTGTGGTAGCTCCCTGGTGGCCGACTGACCGCTGAACGGTCCAACGACCGACGGGCCGGCGAAACGGCCGGAGGGTCTGCTGTCTGGTGTCTAGACGCCAGGGGCGTAGGCACGCTCCGGTATGGAAAGGAACCATCGGCTATTATATAAATGTATAACTTTCTGAGACATTAAACACCACGTCTGAAAATGCCTCCTCTGATGATGTTCGGTGTCCGTTGTGTAACCTCGTGGGTGTGATTGATACGCCACCCCCACGGCAGCCTTGCAGGAAGTGCTCTGTTTCTGCTATCTCTGGTCGGCATTCTAATATCACCATCCCATCCTGATCGTTTCCGCGTCGGCACGTCATCTGACGCAACGCGGGCCGCACGTAGGCTCGTATGCTCACGTATGCTCATGAAGGTATTCCCGACCATTAGCGATCCGGCCCGGCCACAGACAAATTGCCCAAATCATCCCGGAACACGCTGATGGTGCGCTGTGACGTCAGTGTGGGGGAGGGCGCTGCGCACATGCCAGGTGCAACTGTCGACTCACTGAGCTGGTGGCGGTCGGTCGGCTGAAGAGACAGGCAGCCTGCAGCGCCCCGGCTCCCCGCCTTCTGTCGACAGCGTCCCAGTTGCCGCGTTCTAGGCCGCCTTATTTGCTCTGAAATTCTGTGAAGGACGTCGATGGGTTGATGGCGAAGGCCGCCGCCGGGAATCTCCTATGGCCTGAAGGTCGGCGGCGACGCGGGCGTTTTAGTGGGCCGTTTGTTCAGCGGAGACAGTTTGCCGAGCCGAGCCGGCCTGTCGAACCCGACACCAGCGCCGGCACTGCCGCGTTTTTCGGATGTCGATTGGGACGGCCCGCCTAGTAACGGAGGCGGCGGCCGGAGCGGGCGCGGGGGTGCCTCCCGCATTCTGGAGCTCTAGCTGCCGCCGCCTGCGCCGGTTGGTTATACGATACCGATGGTGCGGCGTGGCGGGACGTCCCACGAATGCCGGGCCACGCCGCGAGCTGGATTTGTGAGGAAATATGGAGAAGGGTCGTCTGGGGATAGACAGGCGGACAGACACAGATCGCGCCAGTCCCAACTACATTATTGGTCCTGGCAGAACTTTGCATTTAGCTGCCTCTCACTCTGACCCGATTGTATTTAGCTGCCTCTCACTTTGACCTGATATGCCGATCCCATCCCTGTATAGATAACTCCTGCGCTTCGTTCCCTACACTCTTTTATACAATCTTTATATGTGCTGTCACTGTCACCTGATAATCTGACATCTCCTCAGTTCCTAGTTTCGTTCCGACCGCCCGTGTCCGGCCAACGGCTCTGCCGCAATATGGCATTTATGTGTCTGCACCGGCGGACCCGATGTGGCTGTAAACATGGAGCTGCAGTGATATTCTACCTCGGAATAGCCATTTTGAGTTTATGTTGGCCGGCATTGCATTTTAACCGCCCTTTCGTTTCCAATAATGGTAACATTGCTTATAACTCTTCAACATTGTGGCTACCGTGAACTTTATTTCCTATGTAATTTCGTTACACTATTCTCATCACTGGGTTTTGGCCAAACATCACTGTTGCTTCACTAATTAATTCCAGCAGCTGTTCCTGCCGCGCTGGCGAGTGAGGCGCTCATCCGGCTCTCGGCTTCCTACCCCGGCCGTCCTGGGGCCATTTCACGGCGAGGCGCCGCCGGCAGCGAAAGAAGAAAAACGTGCGGTGGTTCCTGCGCACATCCGCGCCGAAATTGGCCGTCTCTGGGTGGCGCCGGATTGGTGTTCTGCCAGAGATATGGATCGAAATGTCGGCCGGCGCTGGCTCTGCCGAGAGACATGTGTGTCTGTTTTCGTGCGTCGGTCTGTTTGGATCGATGATTGTGTTTGTGGTCGGCGCACTGATCTGTTGGACTGTTAGTCTGTCACGTTTTTCAGATGTCTGAAAATCGGTGAGAGTTGTGTGCGGTGGTTTGCCAGAGGCCTGAGTGGATTCGTTTGTTCTGCTCCTATGGGTTGTTTGAGGTAGGATGCAGATTTGATACACGGTGGCTGAAGTGACCTGCGCGTTATATTTTCTGTAAAACTGGCTTAGTTTTCACTCTTCTCGGTCACGACTGCTAGGAGGCTCGGAGTGCAGCACCGATCCCATCCATCCCCTCTATGAAGCCCCTTGGCCCAGTCCGTGCCATCTCCGCCGCGGGGCCCGACCGTCTCCTCGCGGCTAATCTCGGTCTCGGTCACCGGGTCCGCGTTTCCACACGGTTTCCGCACGTTTCCAGCCGGTGGAGCGCGACGAACGGAGCTGCCCGTCGAGGAATGACGTCAACTCCGGTACTTGGGCTATATCGACGGTCGCTTATCGTCGGCTCGATATAAAAGAAGCCCAGAAGCACCGCTGTTTTCTCGTTTGGTGTGTATTTTTAGCCGGACCAAACTCTGATGCCTGATGCTGTCAACATCAGGCAGGGCACTGAGCGCCAATGTTGTGACATCAGGTAATGCGATGGGCTGTGTTTCTCCAGTGAGTGCCTTCGGCAGTGACACGGTGAATTAAATAACTTCTACACGGTGGCGGGCCGGATTCGTATTCAGGGTGGCAGTCGGACTGGCGTGCCGGCGATAAAACCTTCGTCTGGGAATCCGCTGGGACGGCGGAGTGATTCTTTCGTCTGACGCTGGGGCCATGCTCCATAGTGTTCCGTTGTGAATTCAGTGCCCGTGCCGGTGGCTTCCGTCGCTCGGCGCAGGTGCACGGGGCGCCCGCTATTCATGCAGCGCTGATGACATGCACAGGGGATTAGAGCTGACGACTGTTGACGGGCCGAATTCCTCTTGCACAATGGTGGTCATCACGTTAACTGTCCCGGCTGGCCGGCTGGTGGGGCCGGACAGTGCTGGTGGCAGCTCCCGCAGCGGGACCGTCAAGGTCGCAGACGCAGCCACGCGCCGCTATTTTCGGCTGCACCGGGTCCCATTGCGGACGGGTCGTGTGTACAGGTGCTGTGCATAGCTTGCCACGTGTACCATCGCCCGCTCAGAGGGGTGGGGTGCGTGGGGGCCGGGGTCGTGTGCCTAGTTCACGCGCCGTCGTGCATAATTGTCATTGTTTGTATTCATTTCGGAGCGTTGGACGGATTCTTAACAGTGTCGGCTGTCGGTGTCGGTGCGAGGTCCACGGGCTATCTGACGCTGTTCTCGCGTCTGACTACCGCAGCAGCGGCGCTGCGCTCCGGTGAGAATGAATGGGACAGTTAGCACGCTCAGCTCCGACGGTGGTCGCCCGCTCTGCTGAGAGACGAGGGCCTGCGCGGCTGCGACGGGCCAGCACCGCTGGGGCCCCTCGGACTGTGGCTGTCTTGAAGTTCATTATTTATTTGAGTGTTAGAGGGGCAATCCAGAAAAAGAGATAGTGGGAACATTTGTGACTCTGGTGTGCCTTACTAGGCTAATTAGTATACAACTGCATAGCATACTCATTATTCCCTGATTAATCAGATAGTTTGCCCAATTCTTAGTGATAATGCAAATAGCTGGTTTCTCGCACTTACTCATACTGACGCATTCACATTTGCTTGTTGTAATTGCCATGGCTCGGAGAAATCAGAAGAAAAAAGCTCCAATATAGAGTTACACACCCAGTTCAGCACCCAGCGAACCGAGGCCGCTGCTCTCTTCTGACCCCGGCCCAGCCTCGCACGGGGCCGAGTGGGATCAGCTGAGCGGCTCACCGACTCACCCGTCCAACGCACCGACCCCCGACCAGTTCTCAGGTGCTCGGTTAGCTGACCTGTCCACTGCGCTCGGCACTGCGGCGCGCAGGTTATCTTGTTTATCCGTGCCTTCATCCTCCACTCGACCGCCCGAGTGTCTGGTTCGGGTGGTCGGTACGGCGGCGGGCCGACCGCCCGGCTCGCACACGCAGCTGACGGATTATCCCCGGCTCGGATGACGTCCGCCGGTGTCGGCACGTCACCCGGTGACGGCGATGACGCGCCGGTCCCGGATGTGCGCGGCGTGTGCGTGTCAGATGCGTCATCATGCAGATAGACGGACGTTGCAGCGGTGTTGATACAAGCTCTTCTGATCACCATCTCCCGAACTTTTCCACCCGTCCGTGGATAACGCGACCTTGGAGTCCTGATGTTCAAAAACATTTCAGCCTAGCGACAGGGCGGGCGGGCGGGCGCTGATATTTCACACTGGCTGGCAACTGCAGAGATCCGCCGCCGATGCGATTAGGCCGGCCTGCCGTTAGCAGTCGATTCGTATGCGGGCATATTGCCGGTCTTTTTGGGAGTTGGTCCGACGGTCTGCCATTGGGCCGACTGTGCCGGGCCGGATCTGCACCAATTGCCGCTCGGCGAGACGTGACTGTCGACAGGCCACCATCATCATCGGCGTCATCATCATTTGTTTGAGCTGCATCCGCTACTGAGCGCAGCAGCCTCCATGGAGAGGGAGGGGCGGCCGCGCCAGTCGGATGTGACGGCTCTGATGACCGGCTCGTTTTTGTGTGAAATACGGCAGGAGACACTCAGGTCGGGGCCGTCTGGGAGGGCCCTGGTTGCGACTGACTGGTCATGAAATTCAATGTTTATCCCGCGTTGTGAAGGTGATGTCCGGTCTGGGGTTGATCCGTAGCTGACAAGACGGTTCAGAGTCCCACTGGTCCTTCAGACTCGGCCATTGGGGTTGATCGATGACTGGTTCTCCGTCAGCCCGCATATCACAATACTTGCCCAATACACAGGAAGACATACCTTCGTCAGAGCTGGGTAGCATGATGCCTTACGCATTTTGCTTGCTGGACTGAAAATGCTTGCTTATTTCTATATCATTCTTCCATCCACTCTTCTGTTCCATCGTCTTTTTTCACATGTTCTGTTTCTAACGTCACTGTCCCATTATATGTAACTATGTATCCCGCGTTCTCACAACCACCACCGCCTGTAACCGTTCGTCTCTGTCTTCAGGTGAGCCCTCAGACGCGCCGGAAAAAGGATGAGATCGCCGTCGACTGCTTGGACTACAACAAGAAGATCCTGCACACTGCCTGGCACCCGCACGAGAACACGATCGCCGTGGCGGCCACCAACCAGCTCTACATCTTCCACGAGAAGGACTTCTAGCCGGCGGCGACCTGGACTCGGGGATCTGACTCTCCGCGCCGGTGAGACCGGGGAAGAGGGTGACGGAAAGAGAGGGCGATGGTTGAAAGGGGGGACGGATAGGGTAGGTGTGAAATGGGAGTGTGGGGGTCAAGGGAGGGCTGGCTCGGGTTGGTGCAAGTTTCTATATGATGGGGTCTCTGGAAGCGAAGCAATCAGTCGGAGCATTAGCATCGTCCTAAAAAACGTCACGTGCCTTCCGTGTCACGTAATCGGTATGAAACTCGCGAAGATTGAGAGGGGCGTTTCGTTGATTCTATGCGCTTCTAGCCGACTGCCGAGCCATTTGGTCTGCGTGTCTGCCGCTTTAGATCGCCGGGCCGCTGTATTCTCGAAGCCAGGCCCACCCGGCTGGCTACTGACCGGCATTGACTGAATGGCTGCTGTGTTTACTGTCAAAGTTTGATGCTGTGGGCTGCTCAAGTTAGTTGAAGCTGCTCTCAGGCATTTCAGCACTTGTCAAGGCATGTCGGAAAGTGGTTGTAGCATTCCACGGAGTCGTTAGTGAGGAAAGGATGGACTACTTGTGACGGTATCATTCCATGTGACGCTTGCAGACTCTGGTAATCCCTGTAAACTGTAGCTCCCTAGGACGTTAGCGCCAAATAAAATAATCAGTTTCTGTGTCAGCTTCAATTTATCCTGTTTGCCTAGAGACCAAATGACGTGCTTAATGATTTATCTATATCGGAAAGTGTGCTTTGGATGGCGAGTCGAATTGAATAAGTCCTACGTTGGTGCTTCGCTATGCGCACGTCATATCGATAAAAAGGTTCGTGCACAGAGATTGCTATATTTTTCCGTGAGCAACACAAGTGACGTGCTTACTGCTTATACGTTAGGGATGAATAGCTAGCCCCTTTCCGGGTTACCCTGAATCGATCCATGTATGATAAAGCTTCATTCGAGTAGGTTTGCCGGCGCTTTTATTCTAATATCATCGTGTCCAAAATAGCAAATAGCTCCTCGGCATTTCAGTTAAAAATAGTTCCAGTTGCGACCAGTTTCCTCCGTCTGTCGCCGCAATTTAGGCCCGAGAAGGGAAACAGTTTGAGCCGGCGGCCGCCCACGTTTGGCGCGCGGCAATTATTCGACGGTGGTCTGTTTGCTGGCTGTCTCTCTCCCATGGGTGGGCGGACGGGTCGCTTTCTGCCCACTCGCCTCCTCCAAATAGTGCTGTCTGCGAGATGGGCTGCCTCCGCCCACCGGCCTGCCGTCAGAGCGCTCTGTGCTGGTGGTGTTTGGTGATTGTTGAGAGGGTAGAAAGACGTGGTGTGTGCGCCGCTGCCCGTCTCCGGTGCGGTCCAATTGTGCAGGGCGTGCAGTCTCGAGGGTCGTTTGTGGAGACGGATCGGTACACCGGGCGTCGGCGGAGGCACTGCTTCTGCCAACCTCTGAGACAGACCCTGCGCCTCTCAGGGTGGATGCTGATATGTAGAACCAGTATGTGTCAGTCATGATTGAAAAGACAACCGCCGTCCCAAGACCATCTCCCTCTGCACGTTTTCTCGGTACCCCAGCCCGCTGCAAGAACTCAGTAGATGGGGATAAGCAAGGCTCATGAATGGCTCAGTGTTCATTACCAACTGTGACTGTTTCTTGGAGCCAGCAGTGGTGGACCATCTGAGCCTGTCTTGGCGAGTTACGGAGCTCACAGCGACGGCGGCGACGGAGAAGCATCCGGGTATGACCGAAACATAGTTACAGACCGCGCTAATGGATGGAAATGCGATTAGCAGCGTCCCAATGCGGCGCGCTCTGTGCCGTGCACCATACAGTTAGTTTGATCTCCATAGACGGAAATTCAGTTGGCTACCGGAATGACGCTTATGTGGCGATTGATTTCCATGGGCTGATATTCCCATTGACGATTATTAATTCCGGGAACAGAGAATGCCGGCGGGGGACGTACCGTTGGACTGCGGAAATCCAGCAATCCAGATCTACCACCGCGCTACCGTCGACGCTCTATTGCATTAGACGGCTCATTCGCCGAGGTGCCGAGCCCCCCCCCCTCCGCCGAGGGGGGGGGCGTCACGTGCCGCCGACGGCAGTGTTTGCCAGATGCTGGCGGCGATAGGGGACCGGACGGGACGGAAGGCTATTGTGGCCCCAATGTGTGACGATTGCGCGACACTGTTTGTGCGTGCCACTGTGCGTGTCGAGGCACGTGTGTTTGTGTGCGGAAAGGGTGGTCTGTTTGGCTGCTGGGTGACTGGCCGGGTGACTGTTTGTTGTAGAGGTTACGGCGTAGTGGGAGTTATTCATTGCTACCGAGGTTGGCTGCTGATAGGGCAAGTGATACCTTTTTGGTCATGTTATCCGTGAACACTTATTTAACCTGGTGCTGTTGTAGAGAGGAACCTAGTGCCTGTACTGTTATTCACTTTGATTGGTTTAGTGTCAGTGCCTCTGTGCAACATTCCAGACCGCAATCAGTGTTCCTGAATCTGTTAGCTGTGTCAGTGATGTATGCAAACCAGTTCGAAGAACATCATCTGACCGTCCTCTCCCGGTTCTGTTCGCAGCTAGCCGATGAATCAAATGAGCCGCCGGCGGTGGGCAGAACTCGGAGCTCTGCGCCCGACCGAGCGGCCGGCAGCGGCCGACCTGTGGCCCCGCCACCGCCGGCCACCGCCACCGGTCCGGTCCATCCCGGTGACCCGGCGGGCCGGCAGCGCACGCCGACACTACCAGCGGCCCGCGGCCGGCCAGTGCCGGCCCAGCGCGACCGGCGGCGCTTTTATTTGTGAACTGTTTACCCGCAACTGTGCTGAGGAGAGACGATGAATAGTGCTGCCGTGTTTTTGATTGGAGCGAGCGGGCCGGCGGGCCCGGCGGCCGGCGCCGCGGCTGACGAACATTCCGCGGCACGCGACCCTGACCGGTCGGCCGACGGCCGGACACTGAGAAGCGAGTGGCGCGGGCCGGCGTGCCCACCCACAGACGGAGCGGACAGGGCGGCGGACGCTCGCCGCCGCCCCCAGAGCGAGCGAGACCGCTGCGAACAGCACGGGCCGTGAGTAAAATAAACATGTCCATTGCGACCGGTGGTTTTTGAGGCGGTAGCAGCGGCGGCGTCGAGCGCGGCCGGCGCTCTAACGGAGATGAATGGAAGCTCCGGTCGCCGGTCGCCGGTCGCGGCGGCAGAGACGGGAGGAGAGCAGAGGGCCGGGCCGGAGGCGGCCGGGTGTCGTCTCTGTAGCGCCGTTTCGGCGGCCCTGGCACAGACATCGATTGCCGGCGGAGGAGGAAGGGACGGGGTGAGTGGGCTGGCGGCCGGCCGGCCGGCTCGGCCTTGGTTTGAAGCGGGCCGTGGAGGGAGCCGGGGCGATCGATGGCTCGGAGCGCGCCACATCCGGCTCCGCTGCGCCCGCCGGAACTGTCTGCGGACGCGCCGCAGGAGCAGAGGGCGGCTCGCGGTGTGCGGAACTGAAGCGCCGGTAGTGTCCTCTGAATCAGGACGGCACGCGCTAGATGCGACTGTGGATAATTCTTAGTCGGGCCTAATGGGGATGGCAACAGGTGAATCAAATTTGCTGCAAGACAAGATATTTCAAGACCGGTAGCCGGGCCTACGGTAGGCTACGACAGACCGAGTCTACACCAACTACATTTGGAGTCCAACGGATTCGTTTTGAAATTGCTTTGGTAGTCTCCTCTCCTCCCTGATCTGGTTAAGTCGCGCGGGAAGGAAAGTTTGGAGCCCAGCCATGGGCCGCATACCTCAGTCGACAGTTCATTCTGTTTGCTAAAGTATCCTTGCGAATAGCCAACTTGTGACTACTTGAGTGGACCAGCGAGTTAGCGTGGTCGAGGCGAAGTTAGCGCCGCTGCTCCCGGCGACCCGTCGGCCTAGGGAGGGCTCTGGTGAGGCAGGCTGTGAGTCGGAGCTGCTCCCGGCGACCCGTCGGCCCAGGGAGGGTTCTGGTGAGGCAGGCTGTGAGTCGGAGCTGCTCCCGGCGACCCGTCGGCCTAGGGAGGGTTCTGGGCTGTGAGTCGGAGCTGCTCCCGGCGACCCGTCGGCCCAGGGAGGGTTCTGGTGACTGGTGAGGCAGGCTGTGAGTCGGAGCTGCTCCCGGCGACCCGTCGGCCCAGGGAGGGTTCTGGTGAGGCAGGCTGTGAGTCGGAGCTGCTCCCGGCGACCCGTCGGCCTAGGGAGGGCACCAGTGGCGCAGCCAGGGGGGGTGAAAGGGGTGAGATCTCACCCCCGTCTCTTATCCTAGGGGCCCACCGTCGATTCGAACTGTAACGTTATGCAGCCCGACAATTTTTTATCACTAATGTCAAGGTCCGTCATAGGACTAAAAAACAGTTTTCAGGCCTGATACCCCCCACCCTTTAGGATTTATTGTCCCATTTTATGATTTAAGGGGGTACATCCAAGGCCCGATTGAACTAATCCAAGGCCTAGAAGGGCCCGTTCCATGGCATGAGAGGGCCATTTCAGGCCTGAGAGGGCCCATTTCAGGTCTGTGAGGGTCCATTTCAGGCCTGAAGGGGCCCATTTCAGGCCTGAAGGGGCCCAGTTGAAGCTTGAGAGGTCCCATTTCAGGCCTGAGAGGGCCCATTTGATGCCTGTGAGGGTCCATTTCAGGCCTGAAGGGGTCCATTTCAGGCCCTAGAGGGCACGTTTGAGGCCTGATAGGGCCCATTTCAGGACTGAGAGGGGCCCATTTCAGGCCTGAGAGGGGCCCATTTCAGGCCTGAGGGGGCCCATTTCAAGCTTGAGAGGGCCCATTTCGTGCCCTAGAGGGCCCGTTTGAGGCCAGAGAGGGTCCGTTTGAGGCCTGAGAGGGGCCCATCTCAGGCATAAGAGGCACCATTTCAGACCTGAGAGGGCCCAGTTACGGTATGAGGGGGCCCTTTTTCGACATGATAGGGACCATTTCCGGGCTGAGGGGGCACATTTAGGTCTGAGAGGGCCCATTTCAGGTCTGAGAGGGCTAATGTCAGGCCTGAGAGGGCCCATTTCAGGCCCTTGTGGTCCTATTTGAGGCCTGAGAGGGGCCCATTTCAGGTCTGAGAGGGCTAATGTCAGGCCTGAGAGGGCCCATTTCAGGCCCTAGAGGACCTATTTGAGGCCTGAGAGGGTCCACTTCAGGCCTGAGAGGGGCCCATTTCAGGTCTGAGAGGGCCCAGTTCAGGCCTGAGAAGACTCATCCCAGGAATGAAAGGATCATCCTATGTGTGGGAGGGTCCGTACTCCGTGCCTGGTCTGGGTCTGAGAGGGCCTATCCCAATCCTGATAGCGCGCTGAAAGTGGGTTCGATAGATCTATCTCTAACGCGTGCAATCAGCCATGGGGGGGGGGGGCGTATCGGCCAAAACCGATCATAAATTAAGAAGGCTAGAAAGACGAGAAAAGCAACAGATAGCTGTAGGATGCTTCAGAATCGTAGAGGTCATTTTTCGATTAGGTCATCGCTGAGGTCATTGAAGATGACATTATGATGAAATTATGATAAACACAAAGACAAGATTACGACGAAAAAATTATTGTTTTTATATTTTAACAAATAACCGTATAACTCGTAAACCAAAGAGCTAGAGCTTCGCGGAACATCTCATTCGATAGGCCTTTCAAAACGCTTCATCGCTTATAAGATTTGACCTCAATAATGCCTCATGTCAATGGTTTGGCAACAGAGCAGAGGGCAAAACCATCTAAATAGTCGCATTTTACCAAAATAGTTTTGCTAAGAATTTTTGCAAGAACTTTGGTGAGAAAAATTATGAGACATTTACTTTGTCATCATTCTCTCGTTAACATGCATCGAATGTTAACCCGCGCACCGACGGGGGTCTGCGCCAACTTCGCACCGACGGGGGGGGGGGGGCGGATGACCGCCCCCCCCCCCCCTGAGATCTCGAGAACGAAGCAAGATAGCGACAAGCGGTAAACGGCATCGGATACGCACGGCCAAGATCTACAATTTTTACTAAGGTCATTTTCAGGTCAGGGTAAAGATGACGTCACAGGGGTCGAAAAAGTCAAAATGGCGGCGCTAGATTTGGAGAGAGTTTTTCTCGAATACCTTTCGAATTAGTCAAGATAGGAACAAACTAAGGGCATCATCGTGATCCTCTCGTCAATCCGCATCGAATGATATATATGTTGACCTCGAAAGGACAAGGTCAAAGGTTGACCTCAGGTCACGTGACCTCGAGGTCATCATGTATATCATTCGATGCGTCTTGACGAGCTGAACACAATGAGACCATCCACGCGTCTGTATCTTGTTCCTGTACGGAGTTATTGGCCAAAAACCTTTGGTGACCTTTGATGACGTCACATGACCTCACAGCTGCCCAACAGCAAAACAGACCTCAAGGTAGTGAAGGTTGACCGTATATGAAGTCATGTAAAGTATATGGGGCCATTCCGACCCGTTTTAGTGGTAAAAACAGGGAGTTGATTTTTCCCCCATTGACTTATAATGGGGAGGTCGCGAAATTGACCTGACCTTAGGTCACCGATATCGAAATTCCGAGATATACAAATTGTAGCTACTAATGACCTCATAATATCCTGCGACTTTCAAAGGCCTCCGACATCTACTGTAGCTGTGGCACGGTGACAAAGTTGCAAAAAAGTGACTTGAGGTTGGGTCATTCAAAGTGACCTGGTGACCTGACCTTAAAAGGTAGGAAGTTCAAACTTGCACACCATGTGTAAAATTGATGAGGTTATAGTCATACCAAATTTCGCGAGCGAAAAACCTCAGGGGGGCGGATATCCGCCCCCCCGTCGGTGCGCGGGTTAACACCTATAATTTCACATAAAAAGTTCAACTTCAAAATGTGACCGCAGATCAAGGTCATGCACTTACTTGAGAAGTTCATGATGGTCATCAACTGATCCGTATGGATGATTAACACCTTCAAGACAATTTAATTACTCTACCTCGTCTCCTATATCAAATAGTCGAAAAACTGATGTTGAGCTTTTTTAAAAGCTTTTTGACCTAGCCCGGCCATTTGAGTGGCCGCTGGCCATCAATTGCACGCTCCATCAAATATGGGCAGAATGGTCGTGTTTCTGTAAATATGCTGTTGTTTTTTACGTGCCTCTTCAGATCAAGAGATATTTGTCCTTTTCCCCGATTTGGCTGGTCATGATCAGAACAATGATCTGACCTTTCGTTGTTGGTAAGGGGCCACCATTAGGTTGAGGGGGGCCCACTTTGCTGGGGGGCCCATCGCGAACGTCTCTCACCCCCGTCGCCAGAGTTCTGGCTGCGCCACTGGAGGGCACTGGTGAGGCAGGCTGTGAGTCGGAGCTGCTCCCGGCGACCCGTCGGCCCAGGGAGGGTTCTGGTGACTGGTGAGGCAGGCTGTGAGTCGGAGCTGCTCCCGGCGACCCGTCGGCCTAGGGAGGGTTCTGGTGACTGGTGAGGCAGGCTGTGAGTCGGAGCTGCTCCCGGCGACCCGTCGGCCTAGGAAGGGTTCTGGTGAGGCAGGCTGTGAGTCGGAGCTGCTCCCGGCGACCCGTCGGCCCAGGGAGGGCACTGGTGAGGCAGGCTGTGAGTCGGAGCTGCTCCCGGCGACCCGTCGGCTCAGGGAGGGCTCTGGTGAGGCAGGCTTTGAGTCGAAATCGGATGGGTCCGTGGGGAACGGCTGAGTCGGCGGTGATGGTCCAAGTCTGAATCGGTGATCCTCTGCGGTCCCGGTATAACCGAACTGCTCCGCCCGCAGTGGGCGATCAACACTGCAGTCTGGAAATCTAACTACCTTCAAATTGTGTTCTGCATTGTGTTTAACTAGGAATGACGTTCCGACATCCGACTTTGAAGTGGCATTGTTCTTACCAGCTCTGAAGCCTGAACTCATTTTACAATCAAAATTTAGGCAGAGCTCTTAATTGAAAGCGTCCGTATTTTCCCACTAATATTCGGATAAATCCTTCCGGGACGGGGGAGATCCCTTCACCAACGCATTAGTAGCATTAGTACGATTTGCGCAGTCAACAGAGCCTGATTGGGTGCCCCTGAACCCGTGGCTCTGATAATGCTGCCAGTTATGAGACGTAGAAAGCGGTTGGGTT